GCCCACTCCATCATTTTAACGAAGCTACCAAGGTTGAGAAATGCTGTCTTATCTATTTCAAATTACCTTGATCCATACCAGGTTGGATTCAAGACAAACATTCATGTTTTTCATGGTTTCCTTGGGATCAGTACAGTGCAAAGATGTAGATCAGTGTTTCTCAAACTTGGCAACTTTAAGATGTATGGACTTCAGCTCCCAGAATTCCCCAGCCAGCTAGAACTATGAGGAATTATAATCCAAGGACAGAAAGGTATGGAAAGGTATAATAAATAGTGTAGGGGCAAATTAAATTTAGTTAGATTGCCTTTCCTTTTTTCTTATTTCCTGCCTTTAATTTCTTCAGTTTAGTGCTGAACCACTTCCTCTTTTCCTGTGCTCTGCATAACACTATTCATCCCCAAAGGGAATTGCGCCATGGAGTATGTGTATATATGTGCATAATTCAGCAACATGTGGAAGTCTATACATTCCCTGATCATGATATGGAAAGGATACAAATTCTGTACTGGAAACTTTATTAATTTATTTTCACTGTTTTTAGGGTTCAAGAGGGTTGCCAGGACCAGATGGCGAGAAAGGTTACGGGGGCTGCCGCGGCAATAGAGGCTCTAAGGTGGGAAATCCTGTACTAATCCATTAGCTTTAAAGTTTTAATAAAAAGTTCTTTATCTCTCTGCTTGCTGCATTAAGATTATTATATTGACCTCTCCCTTCTTTTTCAGGGACAAAGAGGAATAACTGGCCAGAAGGTACAGAAACTTGATTTAAAAGCATGATCTGAAAGAAAAAAGTACTGTATGCTCAAATTAGAGACCATATCCAATTGAGCACTAGCTACTTCCTCCCTTTCTACCCATTTTTGAAAACTGCAATACCCTCGGGGCTTTCTTCATGATATTTGGTATTGGGGGGGGGAGATTTTAATAGTCACTCAACCAAGGAAATCATAAATTAGATTCTAGCAGCATGAGATATCAACAGATAAAAAGCACGCGACCTTTCATCTTCAGCTTGTCACAGAAAGCCAAAGTACTGTAGACAAAAATCTTGTGCTTGAAGAAAGGATGTCCTCTGGATGCATCAAAGAACAAATCCAACCATTCTAAGATGATGGAGGTGGTACCCCATATCACAGGGAGACTAGCAAGCATCCTATTGCACAGAGCAACGCTAGAGCATAAGGAAGGGAGAATGTACTGTATTTTTTTTTCCTATGCCCTTCTGGATGCGAACAATCAGAAACAAAGGCCAAAAAGGGGGATTTTTCCCCCCACCTTTACTTTTCTTTGATTTCTTTTTTAAACTTACTTTTTGCCCTCCCTTCAAGGTTTCACCATGAAGGTAATCAACTAGAGAGCTGGTACAATTTTGCAGGCTCATTCAAGGTCTAGCAAGGGAATGCAAAGACTTCAGAAAAGGTTGGGATTTGCAGAAGCAGAGAGTGAAGATAAGAACAAAATAAGATAAAATAAAAATAGAAAAAATAAAAATTAGGAAGCATATATAAATACAATTAAATCTTAAGGAAAGATAACATGTAAAGTCTCTTGGGGGCAGGCTTGATTCCTAGTGATTTCATGAAATCATCTATGTGATTTTCTCAGCAACATTATGAAAGTGGTTTGTCATTGCCTTCCTCCATTTTTTTTTTTTTTTTTTAGCTTTCCCAATCTAGCCTACAGTCCTGGGATTTCCTGGTGCTCTCCCATCCAAATATAAACAGTTTAGATCATGCTTAGTTTTCAGTCAAGATCAGATAGCTATTGCCACCTAGCTTGTAAACTAGTACTGTATTTCTGCCCAGAAAGATGTTTGTATGGATGAAAGCAATCACTTATTAACTGGCTCGTTGATATAACTAAAAAATGGTGGCCACATTTGAAAGAATGATTTTTTCAGGACTTTTTGTGGTGGTGGTCAGCTACAGCCATTTCCACATTTTAAAATCAGTTGTTTCGAAGAATGAACTACAGTATTTTAGTTTTCTGATGTGTTGCTGCAATAAATCTGGCAGCTAACAAAAATGATTCTTATAAAACTTGTGAAATTGGATAATAAATTCAAGAATTAATTGCCAAAAAATTAATTGCCAAAAAATTAATGGCTTGGAGCAATTGTGGGAACCTAAAAACCACATTATTCAATTGCTGTAATCCTAAACACCAGCTTTCCACAATGGGTGCCCTCCAGAGGAATTGGGGTTATAACACCCAGAATTCTCAGGCAGACTATGGGAACTGTAGTTCTAAGTGTTCTGGAATGGGCCAGCTTACAGAAAATCCTTGATAGGTAATTATAGCTACATAGGTTAGGATTGCACTATAAATAGTATAATTTGTGTCTTCAGGCCGGTTGTGATTTCTGGCAACTATCTGGACAAGTCCCTGCAGTTTTCTTGGCATCATTTTCAGAAATGGTTTGCCATTGCCTTCTTCCTAGGGCTGAGGGAGAGGGACTGGCCCAAGGTCACCCAGCTGGCTCTTTGCCCAAGGGGGACTAGAACTCATGGTCTCCCAGTTCCTATCCTGGTGCCTTCACCACTACGCCAAACTGGCTGGCTGTAAATACTGTGATATAGCAATGAATAATTACCCTAATGGGAGTAATAATATTCTTGTAAAGTTTTCTAAAATTCTAACATTGTTTGCATGGTAGATTTGACTGTGTTCTGTTCCTTTTAGAAACTAAAATCTGAGAGCAACTAAATAAAGAGTAGTTTGGATGCTATTATACATTCTTTGTGCTTGTTATCAAACCACAAGACAATAACATGTGCTTGATCTTGCGATGAACTTGGCCTGATAATTCCCGCTTGCATTATTTTTGCAGGGAAGCAATGGGGAAGAAGGATTTGATGGCATTAATGGAGAGCCAGTAAGACCAGTTTCTCTGTTTTTCTATTAGTGTTCCATCTGAGTTAATGATACTAGGTTTCTTTTTTTTAAAAAAAAAAAGCAGAATAAATCAATAAATATAATAACAATTTTTATGAGATGTTTTATCTCCAAGGGCTCTCCTGGGCTTCCGGGATTTAAAGGAGAAAAAGGTGATCCTGGCAATCAGGTACTTTGAATTATTCATTCTACATATTTAAAAGTGAGACCTTCAACAACATGGCACAGAGTGCTGGTATTCCAAATTCCAGACAATCCATTCTAACTCCTGTTCCAGTGAGGTCAAGATGGCAGTCTTGACTGCACAATCAAAGTCCCACCTTTGTATGTGCACGTGATATCATAATGCATGGAAAAGAGTTGGGGCTTTGATCATGTGATCCGATAACACCCTCCCCCCATGCTGCGGTCCTATCTCCCATTTTCAGCTTCCACACAAAGTTCATCATTCTGTATCCACCAGTTGGGCTTAGTCCTTGGTCAGTTATTCTGAGTTTTTAACTCTCCCTCAGGAAACACGTAACTCTCCTGACATACTCAAGTTTGGCTTCCAGCATCCCCTGGCCAGCCTATGGCTGTGATAAGGCATGTTGGATTGAGTCCACTAAGAAGAAAGCAAAGCGCCAACTTGCCTGGTGCTTTTTTTAATAGTACAGCAGTCTGACAAAAGTAACACAATCCTAAAATTGTATGAGTCTGCATAATGGTATTTATAACTTTTCAACCAAATGTTTCAACCAAAGGTCTTCTTCAGGGACTGATAGCAATTTTTCTTCTCTGTATAGCTTTGCTTAATTGATTATAATACAAAAACATACATAATTTAACAATACATTTTACATAACACAAGCTTTGCGGTGTTTATGAACACATACATAAATCTATGTTCACATTTTAAACAATCGGTGAAATGTTTGTACTTTCACTTTAAAATATCACTTTAACATTATTTCACTTCATACTTTCACTTTAACATTGAGAACTTACTTGTATTACTGCTGACACAGTTCTCTTATGACTTCTCATATGGCGGTGAAGTAAATAGAACTCCCTCATTAAGTATTATACCTACAACAAAAATACACACTTTTCTAGCTTTATTTTATGTATATTTTTTCTGGAAAAGCACTTCATCGGGTAAGTAATATGCGTAGCAGTCAGAGCACTTTATTTCCAGTGACATTGCTTGAAAATATAGTTTATTTTATTACTAGTTCTAAAACACATTTATCTACTCAGTTTCAAATGACAAAGAATGTCTATCAAATTTATGTCCCTCTAATGTAGTGAACTATTTTACTTGTATTCAACAATCTTGGTATTTTGGTCCAAATACACAGTTGCAATAACTATTGCTGAATGAGACATGTTTTTGAATTATAATCCATCAAGATAATATTATGGCATGCATTATAGTCTATTTTGTTTTAATTAAGAATTGGTTAAGCAAAGCAACACTATAAAGAAAAATTATTGTAACTGGATAAGACCTCTGACTGAAACACTGGGTTGAAAAGAGCTTTATTAATTATGTTGTACTGACTCATAAAGTTTTAGGATTTAAGTCAAGATGATGATGGTGGCCTTATGCTTAAAGCTCCTCACCTTAATTATGTTACTTTTATTAGATTACTATACCCATATTACAAGACATACAGCTTTTAGACAACTTAGTACTTTGAACTTTTACTTTTGGATTTATTTTGCTGGATGTCTTCCTCTATTTGTGTATAGGGAACTATAGTTCAGCACCTCCTATAGGGCCATGGGCTCCTTACTTTTACTATAGTATGCATTTATTTCTACCACACATTTTTGGACTTCTAGAATCGGGGGTGCCTCACACTTCCTGGTACCTCCCTTTTCTGCCTGTATGGTTTCAGCTACAAGAACAATGGCACTCAGAGCATGAATACTGGACACAGGGGAATGAAACCACACTCCTCAAATAAACTTTTTCCAGGTCTTACAATAAGAGTGAAAATTCAATGGAGTAACACAATTAATAGAATAAATAGCCTCTGATACACTGACTGAGAGGCAGAAAATCCATCATACATGTATTGCTTGTAAATTGGGATGATATCAGTGAAGATACCAGCTGCAGCTTCCTGGGACCAGCTTCATAATCATGCCAAACCTGAGTCTGCATAGGGTTGAAATCAGTAGGAATGGAGAAACTGCAACCATTTAAATTCATCCATCATACAAAATTAAGACTCAGTTACGTCTTCTTGTCTGAAACTTCTCTCAAAAGTTTTATTTTTTTAAAGGGCAGCCCAGGAGTCAAGGGAATCCCTGGTGAATTTGGTGAAAAGGGTTTCCAAGGAGATCTGGTAAAGTTTTTTTTTTCCTGCAAAGAAAAGATATATCTTTGTATGTTGTTCTCTGTACACAGGGCTTAAAGTTACTGGGAAGGGATGAGTCCTTTTGCCTATTATTATGATTCTTTTTAAGTGTTATTGGTAGGAGACAATTGAGGGCATTCACTAAATTTCGGGACTTACAGATTGGTCAAATTGCTTCTATTATATTAGCTTGAGAGATATTCCAAATGTGCAGTAACGTTTTTATTTTTACATTTACTTTATCTGTCTAGTTGTAAGTGCATATTATAGTTATATTTAGAGAATCACTGTTAATATAGGTCCATAATGTTAATGTGTACATATTTCTCTCTATAAAAGAGAATATGTGCCAGTAATATTACATGTTTATATTGCAATCTTAAAATATTGCATATTTATATCTAGAGAGTTACTGTGAATATTTGTCCCAAATATTAATTACATAGATCCCTCCTCTATCTTTAAGACATTCCAGTATTATTCCTGTAGCTGTTGATGGATTTATTCCATTTATATCATCAATTTGGTTTATATAAATGTTTCATAATGCTGATTACGTTGTGCTGGTACAACCCTTCAAATGGGCTGACAAAAATATATCAGTCTGTAACCACTTCTACTAATGATGTTTACCGATGCATTTTCACTACTGAAACATACCTAAAGACAAAATAACATTAACGTTTTTTTGCACAATATATCTAGGGCATTCCTGGCATAAATAATAACATAGCAGGACCAAAAGGTTTGGAAGGAAAAAATGGAAGAGAGGTAATCAATTCTTTTTATAATATGTATCTTGATCGCTGGAAAGTTACTTGAAAATTGCTTCCATAAAAATGTATTATAATGTTGTGACGTTAGGGAAGACTAGTATAGATTTGGTAAGTCCTTGCACTGTTCAAGGCAAACAGATTTTCTGAGTGGGAGCCACATTTTGCACTGACATCAGTCTCTCCCATGTAAAACTTTTCCAGTGATGTGTAACACAGCAGCTTCTGGTATTTATAGGATTAACAGTATGGAATTTAGGGGAAAAATCACTTCATTAATTCAAAATCAAATACGATGTTTTGTTTATAGGGTGAAAAGGGTCCCTTAGGCCCCACTGGATTTCCAGGATCCAAAGGAACCAAAGTAAGAACCAAAGGAAGAAGATTCCGTACTGATTTCCCTTGTGAAGGATCTTCATGATGGCATATCCAAGGCCATTTCCAAATTTGTTCATAGCACTAGACAGAAAGAAGCTGCCAACCCAAACCTTTTTCTTCTCTAAATATAACTCAGTTGGAAAATATTCACACTTTAATTGCATGAAGGTTGTACTCATATGAACAGCAGCCAATTGCCTTTTAATCTTCTGGAAATAGGCAAGTATGACCTTGGGAATTCACTATGCTGCCTGCCATACGTAGGGCTCTTCCCCACTCCCCAGCAATGAAAGTGGCACACCAATTCCCCCAGAGCAGTCCTCTTGTCATGCTAAAAAATGAAGCTAGCAAAATTGCTGCTTTCACATGAGAGTAGTGGCAATGGTTTCTGCATTGACTATCTGGAGACAGAGGAGCAAGGGAGGGGATTCCACCTGCCCCTCTCCTCCCCCTCCCCCAGCAAATCCCTCATAGCTTCCCACCATGGCTATCCCTGCCTTCACCTCCGTGTTTGCTGGAGATGGCCCATGTTGACAGCAGCAGTGCTGTGGCTGTTGAGGCTGGCACTGGTGCTGTGCATCAAACATGGAAGGAAGGTCAGGGATCACCATGGTGGGAGCCAGTGAAGGTTAAAAGTAGGAATATCAAGCCTCTGGGGCAAAGCCTGCCAAGACTTTCAAATAAATATATTTGTATGAGAGGGGTACAATCCCAGGATTCACATGTGGTACTAAACCATAATGGGACTAGTTTGGGTTTTGTTTAGTATGTTTTATGTGGTTGTGAATTATTCAATAAATATGGTTAAACAAACCATGGCTAAATATGATGTGTGAACCCAGGGAAACTCACTGACTGCAGATTGTTCCTGAGCTCAGTTCACACTTCTGGCATTCGTAGTTAAGTTTTTAAATCAGGACTGAGGAAACTGAAGCTCTTCAGATGTAGGCATATGGTCAGTAACTCTGCAATATGGCCAATGATGAATGACAATGTCGTTTGTAGCTGAATAGCATATGGAGCAACATGGGTACCTCATCCCTGCCTTAAATGATCTGAATCCTTATGGGATATTTAAATAAATATTTATGCCATATGGCCATCTTCATAATTTAAACCAGCTTTCCTGTATCTCAGATGGTTGGACAGACCATTCAGTATAGTCCCATGAAACATATTGAGAGGGAAGTCTCATGAATGCCATCCTGTGTATGCTTATTTGGAAGTAAGCCTTACCAAAGTAAAGTTGTGTAAACACGGATCAGTTTCTAACTTCCTTTAATGTTCTTATCTCAGGGACACCAAGGTAGAAGAGGTCACCAGGGCCCCCAGGTATGCATACGTTTTTAACTGTATTGTTATTGACTGATGCATTATTTTTTCTTTCATGACCATAGGCTAGCCTCTCTTACAAAATAATTATACTAATATTGACACTGATACTGATAATAATAATAATGCAAATATTAATAGTAATAAGTCAGCAGGGTTAACATAATTCAGGGAAAATGAACAAAATCTATATATACTTTCTTAAATCTATTTTAATATTTAATATTTAATAGTATAACACTATGGTGACTTCATGGACACACTGTTTATCTATGTAGTTTTCCTGGCAAGAGAAGTGATACTTTTCTCGGTCTAGCTAACCTTGGTGGCCTCTCATTTAAGTACTAACCAGGCCAGACATTCTAGTTAGTCTTAGCTTTTAAAAATCAGTCAATATATTTTAAAAAATCAATACATAATCAGTCAATATATAAAATCATGTGCACTGGAGATTTCTGTTCAGGTTTAAATTCAAATTAGCATTTTAATGATATTGATTTGAACTGTACTGATTTTACTGTCATATTTTCTATTTCATAATTTTTAAATGATTATAAACTTCTTTAAGTGTTTACATAAACAGAAAAGTTGGGTATAAATTCAATAAAAAATAAAATAATAAAATAAAATTACATTTTTCACTAAAGAATGAAATTAGTGGAATCTTGTGGGGTAAAGAAGCTCAGCCAGTATCATTACACCATTTTGTAAATCTATTATGAAACCAGGCTTAAAATACTTTATTATCCCATGTCAGAAATAATTTTTTGCAGCTGCAGAAAAGGGTGACTAAAATTATGGGGGTCTGGCTGGAGGACTTTCTGTATAAAGAAACACGTGATGACAGCTTATTTTAAAATTTTTAATTTAAAAACAACCCCTGAGTTTATTGAATTACGTCTGGGGGAGAGATACTGGACAGAGTAACATAACAGTAGACGTAAAGAATTAAAAGGTATACCTATATGCCAGAATATTTCGGGACAGACAGAAATATGTATTTCTTTGCATATCATATAGCTATTTTTCTGGATTTGATGGTACAATGAGAGAAGGGGAAGACTCCAGGATCACATGGTTTTAAACTCTATCTACTGACCGACCTACCTACCTACCGATCTTTGTTGTTGTTGTTGTTTAGTCGTTAAGTCGTGTCCGACTCTTCGTGACCCCATGAACCATATTGCGCCAGGCCTTCCTGTCCTTCACTGCCTCCCTGAGT